TGCCGTTCCCCCAGTACTGAGCTTCTCTATGGGTACCCTTGGCTTTCTTCTACCATTCCGTGAGTATACACGTGCAAATCCAGCCGTAAGTGGGTAACTAATACTATTGTTAGACATTGATGATTTCGCCAAAGCTCTGGAATGTGTTTTCGAAGGCAAAGCAACGATCTTGAATCGAATGCGCCTAGCATGTAACTTCTACAACAAAGACTTGGCAAAGAAAGGAAATGATGGAGATGGTGCGTTTACCGCGATTACATTCTATCTGCACTGCTAACAACCTGTCAAGACTGGCAAGTCATGAACGAGATTGCTCTTCATCGGGGTTCTAGCCCCCACCTTAATACCATTGATATTTTTGTCGATGGGCAACACCTGACCGAGGCCGTGGTAAGTAAGCTATGCATTCTCACTAGCCTACTTTGTTCAACCGGAGTTTCAGTCCGACGGTCTCATCGTTTCAACTCCCACCGGATCAACAGCCTACTCGCTATCTGCCGGCGGACCTATCGTACATCCTTCATTAAGCGCGCTAGTTCTTACTCCGATTTGTCCTCGAAGTTTGTCGTTCCGGCCTCTCGTTTTTCCTGCGTCATCAGTAATCACGCTCCGAGTAAGTTTCCATTCACCGAATCATTTTTAAGGACACAGCTTATAATCAACAGATAGGCGACCGAAGTAGATCTCCGGCGGGCGTCTCGATGGATGGCAGGACTTCACACATTCTAAATCCCGGCGAGTGTGTCAGTGTCCAAGCATCCCCCTATCCGGTTCCTTGTATCAACAGATCTTCCATCATCGAACCTGGTGACGAGGGGGAACATCATGAAGGCGCTGGTCCAGGTAAAGATGATGACTGGGTCCGCGACATCAACAATCTTCTTCAATATAACGCGACATTCCGAAGCAAGGCATTGTTACGACACAGCCGAACTTGAAATCTTTTGCTAGTCTACACTACCGTTCATTGACCTTGCATCATGCCATCACAAAGCTGTCCCACCACAATGGCCGTGTGAGACCAAATTTCAACACCCCACTTTACCGTACACCTTAGCTGGCCTGTATCAGCCTGGAACATCACGTCTGAAAGAAAGAGGGATACATTTACAATTAGACTGACTACAAACTGGTAGCACAAAAATAGGGTATAAACACCTGCTATACATGGATATACACACAACCAAGCTTCAGTGGGTATAACATGAACTGCCCATGGAACAATAATGCATGACTACAAAAATATAAATAATTAAAAACTAAGCATCCAACTGGGTCCAATGTCTACAGCCATTTGAAAAATGAACCAAGAGTGCCGCTACTCCTCTTCTTTGGTACCACGATAGAGGGTGTCTTCAGTCTCCCTGGACTGTGTGACCGTGCCCTTGCCCTGCTCCTCGCGATCATTTCTGGACAAGGCTCATATGGTGGTGGAGGTAGAGCATCAGCACCCTTTGGCACAGAACATGGACCCGCTATTCTGTCTTCCCCTTTGACAGCAATTGCAAACAGGGTTCGAGGTCCAAATCTCTTTACACTGTTCTCCCATGAGCTTGCTGAAATGCGCCAGTCAGTTGAACCCCCGTTGGAGAAGGTATTGTAACAGATTACAATATCCTCTCGCGGGACTGATTTCAACCGGGGAAATTCCTCTACTGCAAGATCAATGGCTCCCTGTAGATATTATTTATTGGCTTTGTGTTCATGGTCCTATGAGGAAATGCACTAACCTCGTATGTTGGTGAGACTCTGACGAGCGCGTTGTGTCCGCGATAATGGTACACAACATTATTGTATTCGTATTCCGCAAATGTAAAGTCATATGGTTGTTTCTCCCTAGGTATCCACGTATCGTGCAATGGGGTTTGCGATGCGGGTAATAGCTGGTGTGTGGGAGAAGGCATATTTCTTGGCCGGGATGCGTGGAGAGGAGAACCGTTGATAGCAATAGTTGGTACTGTGTGAGATGACATTGTTCCCCGAGGGCTGAGGGGATGACATGGTTACCTGGACCGACATTTATACAAGTTGTCAATAGCCGCAGAGCATTGCCATAGACCAGTGAGACTCGTCACCGCCAAGCTTCCGATGCCCCTTATGGGAGGCGGTGCTTGTGTGTTAGGGCTGTGTTACTCGTATAGGCGATACGCCTATTTTTAGACAAAAGATCAACAGGGTCTACGTGAGGTCAAGGCAGTTATCCAAGAGGTAGATGCGAACACGTAGCGCTTTGCTGTGGAGGTTGACAGGTTGCTAATTATCTCTTTAATAACAAAAAAAATAGCGCGATGGCCTTATACATCCAATCCAGCCAACAATGAGAATCCACCTTGCAACCGCGCCTTTACTTTCTGCCGCGGTGCTGTGGTAGTATCCCCACCTTTCCGCAGCTTTTTCTCCTTCTTTACGTGATCCTCCCTAAAATTTTCTACCAGGTCCTCTCTGCACGCTTCCCACATTTCCGTCACGGCTCCATTATATGGTAGAGTCAGATTACCAGAAAGATAGGAATGGAAGAGCCTTCCAGAAAAGCGGTGCGAGACTGAGGGAGCATGCGAAGCCAAAAGAAGAGATTGAGACAAATGCTCAACAGCTTCTAAGGTAGTTAAAAGCTGGGCGGACAACTGCACATTCCTGTCATGAATTGGCGGGTATTCGTTGCCCACAGCCGCATCGACATTAGATTTCCATGAGGCAAAAACAGCCAGGACACAGCGTGCCTCGTGTGATGACCATTTTTCTTTTTCTCTATCCCTAGACCCTGTTTCGAGGGCTCGTTGATGCAAGCAACGTGCAATCCAACGAACGGACAGCACCGGTTGTAGTTGTTCGGGAGACAATCGACGTATGATAGGTAGGTCAGATTCCAATGCGCGAAGGAGGACAGTAAAGCGTTCCTCGGGCGACTTTTGGACGAGGGAAATAGTTTCATCCCCATCGGGCTCTCCATTGGCGGCCGAACAGGATATGGACGAGAGTAATTCATCCAATGGTGTGACAGATAGGACCTCGGCGGCTATCCGAGTACCGCGCCGTACATACTCTGCTACTTTGGGACTTCCGACTCGGTTTGACCTCTGCGACACGACGGAAAGGGGTGCGTCCGTCTCTGTAGCGTCATCATCGGAACTGTGAAGGCGTCGCAGCGCGCCTTTCAGGGGTGCCAAGAAGTCAACTCTCTCCTCCTCGCTATCTGACTCCACCACATCGACTAGCTCGTCCTCGTCACCGTCGGTCACTTCCTCTATTTGGATTTCTCCATGAGTCAAGTCTTCCGTGGCTGCGTCAGTATGATTATGATCCGATTCGTCGATCGGGAGTCCGAGGGAGTCATCCAGGATCGAGTAGACCCAGGTTCTGAGGGGTCTTGCGATGCTGCGGGAGACGGTCTCGAGGTCGGGGGTTTCAAGAAATAGTCTCGGCCATGAGGTTCCGGTACTGAGAATATCCATCAACTTGGGTGAAAAATAACCACTCCTGTATGCCTGCACATAACGGTGACGAATGTCTGCGCTTTGGATCAGTGCATGGGTCTGGCCATCGACACCCTCGCTTTCTTCCAAGACTCGCCTCGACATGAGAGGCAAGATAGGGCAGAGATCGGGATCGTGCAGCGCGCAGATGTCTGTGGGCCACAGGGCTGCACTGCCTTCGTGTTTGGTAATGGCATACTGCAAAGTAGCTGTAACCACTTTATCAACAACCGCATCCACTTCTCCAGAGCTCAAAGGAGTGTTCAACCGTGACAATAAACTATTGACGGTTCTATCAATAAGATCCATGACGCTTCCGACTTGGTGTTTAGTTTTCTTCTTAGGTAATGTTGGTGAGAGGATTTTGCGCATTGTCGAGGTTGCAGTTTCGATCCGTTGGACGACAGAGAGCCTTCTCTCGAAGAACAATGATTGGATGGAGCGACGGTCAGCCTCTGAGTGAGCGGTGAAATCGTTGCCTACGAGGGCGCCAAGGAGGGGAAGAAGGGTGACAGGAAGGTTGAGGTGGGATGCAAGGATATCTGGGTGGTAGACAGTACATGATAAATGTATATCCTGTGCGCCATCTGGGGGGATGATACTCCTTCCAATGTTGCCCTCCCATTTTTTCTTCGACTTGGGTTTGGACACCTTCTGGAAGTCGTCGCCAGGATCATCGTCAACTAGCGATGACTGATCGAGTGCTGTTGACTCCCATACCATATCATCCAAAGGGATATAGCCTAGATAACCGGGGGCATTTAGTATGACAAAATCCGAGTCATTACCGAGCACGTAGCCGCCCACACGACCCGCGAGCTCGACAGAATACGGATCGCCCTCTTCATCTGCGTAGTGAATCTCCAATTTGTCGTTGTTTTTGGCAAGTTCTTCGAGAGCATGGACGCAAGCGGTGTAGGATAGGGGGGGAAGGATCCTAGTCTCGTGCAGGAACCTGGGCGCGGATCTCGAAGTTGCAGACGTTCGAAAAAAGAGCAACCCGGGTTGCACATGGGATTGCCCTAAACGAGTTATCACGGTCGGAAATTTGAGATCGGGGCATGCACCTTGAGATCGGCGAGGTCAATTTGGAGAAGGTATAACGAGAAGTCGATTCGAACCGTCAAACACAAAGTATATCTTCAGGCCCAGTTGGATCCACGCTTGGACTACTCGAGCGATCAACAATGAGAATTCGGGGTATTCGCCTCCATACACCCATGGCAGTTTGGACTCCTGGTATAGGTTATATATGAATCTAGTATACGTTAGGGATTGGACGATTGAACGGTCAGATCGAACTTACGACCATCCGTCTACTACTATTGGTGCAACATCCCCTGAGGCCAATGGAAATCGAATGGCATTTGAGAGAGAGCGAGTGTTTTCGCGTAGATAGGTAGTGAGGCCATGCACACCCATGCCTCCATCAAATTCCGGGAGAGAGATGAGGAAGGAGTCAATATCTATGCAATCAGACAGATGAACAATAGGTACAATTTCGTCAGATGTCTGGAATTCTCATGTGGCAACATGGCCGAGTGGTCTAAGGCGCTGGAATTAGGAACCTTCCTTACTATCCAGTCCGAAAGGGCGTGGGTTCGAACCCCACTGTTGTCATTACACAGGATCCATTTTTGCCAACGAGGCATTGAAACACCAGGCGCTTATCAAGTCCTATTCAATCTCGACTACTATTACCACGATGCGATGTCTCACTTGCTTGCTATGTTTCTTGCTCCTTGTGTTCGCCTAGCTCTACACTGGTTTACACCACTTTTCATTACTTCGTCCCTTTTTTCCCTATTGTAGCTCTTGTTCTCTCGCCCTCATTACAGCTAAATATATCAACTCAGTGCTGGGGGTTGGTTATTAGTTCCTCAGATCTCAGTCCTCTCATAAGAAGGCTTATTGGTTAGGCATGTGGGCCTACATCTGGAGTTTGGGGTCCAAATGGAGGCAGAGCAAGGTGTCTATTTATCTATACAGTCGAGTAAACTAGGTGGATTATGCGCATGAAGAAACTAAACAAAATAGATATCCCCAAAGTGAGTCGAGTGTCCGCCGGTTATTTGGTGGCAGCATAGTCAGTGCAAAAAGGTATCCAAAATGCTATCAAGGTGAATTCTTCTTATCGTCCTCCTCATCACCTGTTTCATCTTTCTCTTTCCAGCGTTCGTATGCTCGGGTGAAGGTTCGGCTTGCGAGCAAGAGTGGTTCGTTTGTCCAGGCCTTGTCCCAAACCCGCTGGGCGAACTGTTTTTGTTCACCGGAATTGACACTGTCACGAAGGATTCCAAGAACATGGACAGATGGGGCTAACAGCTTGTTGATCCTCTCCCAAATAGGTGGAAATTCGGGAGGTAGTGAAACGAGAAGGGACTGCGAGCTACAGCATCTATAAATAAACCTGCATTTTAGAAAACGGAAAATACGCACCTGGTGTCTGGCAGAGGCCGCGGGGGAACATTGGGCACCCATAGTCGGACATCCTCATTCTGCGCATTACGGTTTGGTTGTCGTAGACTGTCCTGGTAGTCTTGCCACACCTCTCTCCGCTTCTCCCTCATCGCAGCCATCCGTCGTTGTCGCTCAAAGTCTAACGACATCGAGTCGATCTTCTCGTGAGCAGCTAACCGCCCCTTGCCCGTCCAGAGGTATAAGCCTTCATCCCAAGTTTTGGGTGGTTCCGCTGGGTGGGGCATGTAGTCCAGGTCTTCGGGATCTTCTGGGGGTTTTCCACCAAGTATCCGTGGCAGGTTCACTGCTTGTCCTTCGGCGGGTAATGGGTAGGGCGCTTTTCCAGTGGAGTCGAGTTTCTTGTGTTTTTTGAACGCGATGACGTTACGGACCTCATGTGGAAACACCTTGCGGACGCACAGCGAACGACAATACGGTTCCTTGCCATGTATGCGCCCAGTCACCGTCTGCGAGCAATATGTTACACACCACTCATCCGCCTTTAGGGAGAATTGACCTGTGTACGGCGTACTCAAATTAAGCACCAGCATGAATGTGAAGGATCAAAGGCGACACTTACCCTGAGGAGGAGTGAGGATCTTGATCGTAGGCCAGTCAGCAAAGGGTGGCTTCCGTGCTTGCTTCTGCTGTTGTTGTTGCGACGTGGGTTGTGCTTGTCCTGTAGACATGTAGCGGTCAAAGATCAAAGTGGATGGGCAAGACCAGATTTCCTCCGGGGGAGTCACCTTCGGTGAGGCACTGCGCCGGCAAGGCGCTTACATAATATGCCCGAACCCCAAAAGCGCTTATTTATTGGCGCATTCGTCACTCGCCGGCGGCTGTTCTCGCAATTCAATCGGAGCTCCAAGTTCCCACGTGCCGCTGAAAATCCATCTCCCGAAAATTCTTTTCCTTTCCACAAAACTCGCGCTGTCCAAAGTATCGTCGTCGCAGCTTCCGTACAGAGGGTCTTTTGAGGCACTCGGATTCGGCTGTGGGGAAAGTCCCCGGAGACACAGAGCATATCCTCGGTCCATTCATGGAAAGCAACTGGCTCTAAGCACGACAGTTCCGGATCGAGGATGTTCGAGAACCGCCTTGCCTTGCACCGAAAGTGGGACATGGATCTGCCTTCGTGTTTGGCTCCGTCTCGTAACACTCTGTTGCTTGTGCTTGATGACTGGTTTACGGCTCAAGGCGCCAGGATGCGAAGATATGAGCGTTTTGGCGTTCGTGATCAGTTGGAGAGCCGGCACTTCGTTGTTCATAGCCATAGTTATACGATAGTTGACTCGTTTGTTCGAGTCTTCAACACAATGGGGCTCACTCTCGGTCGGCGCGGGTTCTATCTTTTATATTTTTTCCTCGCTGTTGAACTTTGCTGTTCGCTATTGGCTATCAATTGATTTTGTGCAAGGTGAGTTATCTATATCTTCTCCATTAGATGATGCTTCAATCTTGTATTGAATTTCTTCAGGGTGTATTTCCTCGTTGCTTCGGCGGTGGGGAGAAATGCACCAGATCTTGACACCCCTGATTCCTCCACTTCTCTTATGTTTTCCAACATCACTAACATTCTTGACAGATTACTAACCTGGACAAAGGTACTTGGGTATGAATTTAGTAGACGTACTATCTAGTTCAAGTATTTGTTTCTATATAAGAGTACGGAGTAAATAACATAATGATAACGAATATCGTCTGTACTTGCAAGTGTGTAGGATACACAAATTAACCGAAGGCATTCCAAAAGTTGTAAAAGTGGGACTTGTTGTGGGTCTTCAAAGCTTAGTCTTGACATCCTCGTCTCCTGGATCACGTCCAGCGAGCTCCTGCTTCGCTCGGTCACGAAGTTCACGACGAAGGATCTTTCCAGCAGCACTACGCCTCCTTTCAGTATCTCACTCCTTCACCTCAACAAACTGTACTCACCTCTTTGGCACAATATCAATAATGATAACACCTGAGCAAAGGACCATTAACAAAGGCCATTCCACTCCTGAAGCGAGGCGAAATCAACTCACCTCCTCGAAGGAATTTATGTCTTGCGACCTGCGTCTGAATCCACTTCTTCACACCCTGCGCAAACGCAAACTTCTGAGCTTCTGTCTTAACTTCATCAGGTCGTGCATGAACGACGTATGCCCGCGGTAGTTCCGTCGCTTGCTTCGCGCTCTCGACACCAATCACCGCAGCGTCAGCGATATCGGGATGAGTGAGGAGTACACTTTCGAGTTCCGCCGGAGGTACTGTTGTGTTATATTCAGAAGGGTTAATGTGAAGGACACCCAAAAGAGGAACGGACCTTGGAAACCCTGCAAAGAAAGGGTTTAGATTGGGAAGCGAGGAAGCAGGGAAGATTCGTACCTTGTACTTGATCAGTTCTTTACGGCGATCTACGATGTAGTAGTATCCATCAGAATCTCGAATCGCAATATCGCCGGTCTTGAACCACTTGTCAGGTGTAATGGAATCCTTGGTAGCATCAGGCCGGTTAAGATATCCCTGGGAATACAATAGTCCGTTTGAGCCCCAATACGAGAAAAGGTTGTAGTCAAACCTTCATGATGCTGGTACCACGAATCCAGAGTTCCCCGGGTTGACCTTCATCTGCGTCAATCTCGCCATTCCCTTCACCGTCCACTACAAGTCGCGCTTCGAGATTGGGCAACAGAACACCAATACTTCCGGTTTTGTGAGCGCCGTCTTGGGGTTGAAGGTGGGTAGTAGGCGAAGTTTCGGTGAGACCGTAGCCTTGGAGGACATAAAGAGGGACGCCGTTCGAGCGCTTGGATAGCAAGCGGTCGATGACCTGACAAAGTGTTAGAATGACATACAGCGTAACTCATGCAATAGTGACTTACGGTTTTTGTCAATGCAGCTCCCAATGGTGCAGCACCAGAAAACAACACCCTGAGCGTCGACAAGTCGTATTTCTCAACGGCTAGAAGGTCCAGTCAACTAAGATATTTTGAAATCTGAAGGAACAGAAATTCACCAGGATGACGAGCGAGAAGTACAATAACAGGAGGTACGACAAGGGCCATGTTGACCCCATACCTTTCAATATTGGCGCAAAACTGGATGGGGTCGAATCTTGGCATGACTACAATCGGCGTGCCGTGTGTGAAAGGGAAATGAAGGAGCTTGACAGCACCTGTCAAAATATGTCAGGAAATGTTTGATCAAGAACCACAAATGCTTACCATAGATGTGATAGAATGGCAGAATCGCGAGGATCTTGTCGGTTTGGTCGAAAGGAGGGAAGAACTCATGAACAATCTTGAGTACCGTAATGATGTTCTTGTGTGTGGTCTGTACGTAAACATTATGGCTAACATAAGCCATCAATAGAGAAATCCACAAAGTAAAACGGACCTCAACTCCCTTTGGCTTACCAGTCGTGCCTGGAAGTAAAAGTAACACACGTCAGAAGACAGGGACCCTACTGATCGAGCCCCGAGATTCACGCACCCGAACTGTAACAAAGATAAACCGTTTCATCCGCATCTGCACCGTCAAACCGTTCCTCTGCGTCAAGGGCGCCCTTGCCAAGCAAATCCTCAAATCCAACGAGCCCAGCGGCGTCGGAGTGTCGGGGAGCATCTGGACCTCCAGCCCATTTAAGGCTTTGTGGGAGAACGATGATACGCTTTTCAGCTTCTGCTTTACTCAGGCCGAATTCTTGGAATGTTTGGCGGACGATGGGGAGGCCTTCTTCGCTCGTGAAGACAAGTTTAGCACCGCTGTCGATGTATTGGAATGCAAGTTCGCGGGCGTTATATCCACTGTTGGCGAGGGTGCAACGTAGACCAGCAGCAACTGTATATGAGTAGCAATCAGAGGCGCTCAACTGCACTATGAGACGTGGAAGACACACCTGCACCGAAGATAACAACTGGCCAATGGATAGAGTTGGGAGAGTAGACGAGAATCGTGTCTCCCCGCTTCGCGCCAAAGACGGACCTCAGGCCATATCCGAACTGGAGAGCAAGTTGTTTGAGCTGGATGCGGGTGACGGTCGTCCCCGTGCTGGCGTCGATAAACGCGGGTTGTGATGCGGGGTAAGGTCCGATGAGTGTGGGGTCACTAGAACCGAACAGGAATGTAAAGATCGAGCAGTCTGGAACGGTGACTGAAGATCCAGGCGAGGTATAGAT